GAGACTGAGGAGCAGGCCGCCTTCCCCCTGGGAGGCACCCCACCCCGCTACGTGTACCTGGCCAGCAACCACAGCAACAAGTGGGGTCACCCGCGGGGCTACCGCATCCAGATGCTCAGCTTTGCTGGGGAGCCGCTGCCCCAGAACAGCTCCATGGAGAGAGCCTTCAGCTGGGGAAGGTGAGTGGCAGGGTGTTAGCGGCTGGAGGAGGTGGACTATAAGAAGCGTCCCAAGTTGCTCAGAAGCCACTTGCTCCCACCTCCCACAGGTGTGCATGCACATACACAATCATGCACACACACACATTCCCGCAGCCACAATCTTGGTGGTATTCAAGTGCTGGACGGAGGGATCAATGGAGAGTTATGTGCCAACTCGAGTATAATAAAATCTTGAAGGTGGGTTCTAGGTCATGGGTATATGGGTGTTCACTACGCCATTCTTTCAACTTTTCTGTATGTTAAAAATGTTCACAATAAAAATTGGAGGAGAAAACAGTACGAGAAGAGCACAGATCTGAGGGAATATGCCCTAAAACCCAGACAGGTGACACGCTGAAACTGACTTAAGATCGGAATCAGGCCATGTCTGCACACATGCATCCAGGGCTCAGGCTCAGATCTGGACGGATGCACGAGGATGACATTCCTATCTGAGATCTGAACAACGGGTCAGTTGATGTTTGAAATATGAGACACTGGACACACTCAGGAAGTCTCGGGACAGAAAGAAAGAGAACAAGTGGAGACAGAATAATAAAGAGGCTCGACGCTGTGAGACCTTTGTGCTCACTTCCTCTTTGTGCTCCCTCTCCATTGTCATTTCGGGCAGTAGGACAGGCTGATGACCTTGTGCGTCTAATCCAAATCTCCTGTAGGTACCAGCTGGCCGTGACCCGGCGGAAGGAAGAGGAGCCCAGCAGCACCAGCATCTACAATCTGAACGACCCTTGGACTCCCACTGTGGACTTCACTGACTTCATCAACAACGAGACCGTTGCAGGGCAGGTCAGCTGAGAGGATGGAGGGGGAGGCTCGGTGGGGAGGTGAGAGAAGCAGGGATGAGCTACTTCATCCTCTCCCAAGCCAGATTCCTTAGGAGTCTTTAGAACCCACTAAAGAAAAAAGCTTTGTGATTTCACGTTTTTCCTGGGCTAGTGAGCTGAATCCGTACACACAGGGCTACTGGAGGAGGCAGGCATGTGCTTCACAAAGCCAGGCCTCAGGATCATCTTTCTTCTCCCCTGCCAGGACTTGGTGGCCTGGGTGACAGCTGGCTTCCTGCACATCCCACATGCAGAAGACATTCCCAACACGGTGACTGTGGGGAACGGTGTGGGCTTCTTCCTCCGACCCTACAACTTCTTTGACCAGGACCCTTCCTTCGATTCTCCTGATTCCGTCTATTTCCGGGGGGACCAGGATGCTGGGGCCTGCGAGGTCAATCCCATGGCCTGCCTCCCCCAGGCTGCTGCCTGTGCCCCAGACCTCCCTGCCTTCTCCCACGGGGGCTTCTCTCACAGCTAGGGGTGGTCCCTGGGATGGGGAATGTGGCCAGGGGCTCCAGGGCCAGGGTGTGTGGGGAGGGGAACAGTGGGCACTGGGCCAGGCAGCCTGGTACCCTCTTTTCTCCCAAGGCCCCTCTGTATGGCCCTCCCTGACACCCCCTCCCTGCTGGGAGCATCCTGAGCCTGTGATGCCTGACCCTGGGGGAGGGGCAGAGACACAACTCAGCTTTTTTGGCCCCAGACCTGCTGGGTTCCTGTCCCAGAGAGAGTGGCCTGCTGAAGCCTGGACTGATGGCCAAGCTTTTCCCAGAAGATTTGTGTTTCTTCTGACAATTTTTTAATCTTTGTTTTGTTTTGTTTTTTAAGTAGGCTCCACGCCCAATGTGGGGCTCGAACTCACAACCCTAAGATCAAGTCGCATGCTCTACCAACTGAGCCAGCCAGGTGCCCTTCATCTTATTTTTTGTAACAAGATTTTTTTTAACGATTCACATGTCATTAAATCCACCCTGTCAATATGTAAGATTGAGTGGGTTTTGGTATATTTACAAAGTGCGCAACCGTCACCCCTATCCAATTCCAGAGCATTTTCATCATCCGAAAAAGAAACCTCAGGCCCGTTAGCAGTCGCTCCCTGTTTCCCTCCAACCCCTTCCTGGCTCTAGGCAACCACTAGTGTTTCTGTCACTATAGATTTGTTTATAACCTGGACATTTCATATACAAACAGGTTCACACCGTATGTGGTCTTTTGTGCTTCTTTCGCGCGGCACCTTGCTTCTGAGTTACGTCCATTTTGTAGCTTGTGTCATGGCTGAATGCGATTCCACTACATGGACAGACCACATTTTGTTCATCCACTCTTCCACTGATGGACATTTGGGTTGTTTCCACTTTATGGGTAAAGCTGCAATGAGGGCGCCTTGGTGGCTCAGTCGGTTAAGCCTCCGACTTCGGCTCAGGTCATGATCTTGGTGAGTTCGAGCCCCGCGTCGGGCTCTGTGCGGACAGCTCAGACCCTGAAGCCTGCTTCGGATTCTGTGTCTCCCTCTCTCTCTCTCTATCCCTCCCCTGTTCGCGTTCTGTCTCTCTCTCTCTCTCAAAAATAAACATTAAAATAAACAAATAAATAAAAGATTATTTTAAAAAGCTGCTGTGAACATTCACGTACAAGCTCTTATGAGGACATGTGTTTTCATTTCTCTTCAGTACATACATACCTGGGCGTGGAATTGCTGGGTCGTATAGCAACCCTGTCCCTAACCTCTTGAGGAACCGCAGGCTAGTTTCCAAAGTGGCTGTATCATTACTTTTCCTTTTCTTCTCTTTTCTTTTCTTTCTTTTCTTTTCTTTTCTTTCTCTTCTTCTTCTTCTTCTTCTTCTTCTTCTTCTTCTTCTTCTATTGTGCTAATACATTGCCTAAAGTTTACAAATTGCCCAAATTTAAACATACAGTTCGGGGGGCGCCTGGGTGGCTCAGTCGGCTAAGCGTGCGACTTTAGCTCAGGTCATCATCTCGCGGTCTGTGAGTTCGAGCCCCGCGTCAAGCTCTGTGCTGGCAGCTCAGAGCCTGGAGCCTGTTTCAGATTCTGTGTCTCCCTGTCTCTCTGACCCTCCCCCGTTCATGCTCTGTCTCTCTCTGTCTCAAAAATAAATAAACGTTAAAAAAAATAAAAAAAAAAAACATACAGTTCGGTGTCACTAAGTACATTCAGAAGCTTGCTGGGGCCTCCCCAGCTCCTCCTCTGCCCTTGGGCCTTGAATTTGAAGATGAGGCCTCTATGGACCACCTGTTCTTTCAAGTACCAGGGCAGGGTCCCCACTAGGCCTGTGTCCTAGAAGCCAGGAAGGCGCTTTTCCGTCGTCATGTTCCCTTGTTCTTGCACATTCCTTCTCCTCCCTTTGTTCCCCCTCTTCCTCCTTCCCCTCCTCTTGCTACTTCAGCTTCTACTTCCTGCTATTTCCTTCTTCTCACTATCAGAACAAAAATGCTCCTCCTGTCATCTGTCTACACTGCCAAATGTTCTTCTGAGTTCTTGCCATGTACGTAACCATGTGGAGTGTGCTTTTGAGAGGGGGCAGGATGGTCAGGGGACAGCAGCAGTTCAGGAGGTTTTGTGGGTGGAATGGTGAAAGGCCATCTGTTCCCAGGGCCTATGAGTGACAGTGGCCTCTAATACTGTGCAGCAGCCAACATGAATGACCAAAATGTCACCAAAGGTAGGAACCAAAAAGCATCAGGAGCTTGGCCCCCAGGCCAGGAGCTGTCTGGTCGGGGGAGGGCATGCCAATGAGCCAGGGGTGTCCCAGTGAGGACTGGCCCGGCCTGGTCTGGCAATAGCCTCCAGAGCCTCCCATCCCCACTGGCCTTCCTGACATGTGGACTATGGATGGGCATAAATAAGAACTGGAACATTTTCCAGAAAAGAGTATGGGGGCAGGAGTAAGGTGGGGAAGAGGTAGGGCTCAAAGACCAAGCTTTCTCAGGTGCTTCCAGACCAGAGAAACCATGTGTTATGTGGTGTCTACACCTCTGCTTCTACAGCATGCCTACTTCTCTCAGTCTCTTTTCTAGAAAAGGGGGTTGTCGAGTCAGGAGGAGAGGGGGTTCCTTCCCCAGGAGGAAGCCCAAACCACTGACCCAGCCCTCAGGGAGGGCAGGCTGGGGCAAGAGGGCAACTGAGGGCACAGAAATTTGGGTCCAGCTCAGCTTGTGACCAGAGAGAAATGGCAAACCCAGAGCTCAGACACCATGGAAATCTTGTGGTTCCCCTCAACAGCTGCCTACACTCTCAGGCTCAACCAGGTGAGCTGGAAAGGAACTAAGTTCTGGAAAAGGGACCTCCATACAAAGACTAAAAGCCATGGGAGCCAATGAGGGGAACAACAGCAAGAGAAATGTAACATGAATTAAATCTGTCTCTCAGCCCACTGGTAGACACCTGAAACACGCAGAGCGTGACCTTGCTCAGGGAACTCATGGCTGCCTTACTGCCTTGCTGCCTTAATGTTTTGGTTTTATTAAAGACTAAAAGTAACCTTATCTTAGCAGTAGCTAGCCCCTCAAGGTCCTGAAAGCCTTACTTTCAAATTCTTTAGAGACTTACGCTACCCCTAACCCCCACTAACTTAAAAGTATATAATCAGTCACTCCTCACAACCCCCATGCAGCTTTTTCTGCCCAAAGGTCCTGTCTCCATGCTTCAATAAAATCACCTTTTTGCACCAAAGATGTCTCCAGAATTTTCTTAGCCTCTTGCTCAAGAACCCCATTAAGAGCCACACTCTCAGTTCGAGAACAGCAACAGGGTATCGTGAAAAGTGCTCAGATGGGGAAGGGGTTAAGGCAGAGCTGGTTAAGGTAGTTGCCTATGCTTCTTTCCATTTGTTTCTAGGCTCAGTGATTTAGTGTCTCTTTATTCTTTCAGCCCAGATAATATCCTCTTTCGACTTTCTTGTGTTTTCTTATGTGAAGAAATTTGGACCAAGATGGGTATAGATGCTCTCATCTTCCCTTCCCTCATGGCCAAGCAAATGTGGTGGAGGGAGCCAGGGATGCTTCTCTTGGCTGTTCCACCTCTGCTTCTTCACATGCAGGGATGGGGGAGGGGACATGTGTCCCCCAGGCTGAAGTCTGTGTGAGGGGCCCTGCTACTGTGGCTCACCTGCTAACCGGTGAGTGTGTGATGGGGCTCCCCACTGGGGTCAGAGGGGACGATTGGAGCCACTACAAAAGAGTGTGTGCACAGGGAACTCTCAGGAAAAGCCTCGAGGCAGCCCCATTGCATAGCCCTACTGGGAACACACCCTTCCAGCCACAAGAAAATAAAACAACCAGACACTGAGGAATGTAGCCCACAGAGATCTAAAGGGTGAGAGTAGCAAAGTTATAGGAGGAACCCAGTGAGGGGGAGAGAACTTTGGGAATGTGGGCCCTCTGGTGACCCTCGGGCCTACAGACCCCACTAAAAGGACCTCGACCACTGTCACACACACAAATACACATTATCCATGTGAGCTGACCTCTTAGTGGCACCTGCTTCATGTCCCCACTCCAACACTTGGCCTGTGGCCAATGGCTGGCCATGTGTGCTCCACTCAGGCTCTGCGGGTGGGTATCTGCAGGTTCAGTAGAATTCTTCCTCCCCACATCTAAATCGCTTATGAGGCTTATATTCTAGACACCTGTCCTTGGCATGTTTCTCATACTCTGCAACCTTATGTCTGTGGGCCAGAATATGATGGGGAAACTCCCCCTTTCTTAAGGACCCTCAAGGAAAGTGATATCTCAGTCTTTCCTGCTTCTCCCATTGAAATGAAGCCAGTATGGTGGAGACTACCACGGGTGAGCTTATTTCCATCTGTTGCCTCATAACAACCTTGAGAAGCAGATATTATTATTCCCATTTTACAGACGAGAAAACGAATATTCAAAGAGATTAGGTAACTTGCCCCCAAGTCATCTGGCTAGTAAGCTGTGGGGCTGGGATTGAACCTAGGTCTTCATGGAATTATACCTGGCTGTTTTCTCCTGTATCGCTGCTCTTCACTGGCAGGCAGGTGATGCTTGAGAATCATTGTTGAATTTGGCACCTGATGCATGGTAAATGACCCTCTAAGAGCAAAATCAACATTCAATGGACCAGAGCAGAAATATGCACAGTTGCCTTAAAAAGCAAAGTTTCTCGACCTTAACTGTGTATTAAATCATTGGCGGAACTTGTAAAACTCCACATACCCAGGCTGTACCTCAAACTAATAAAATCAGAATTTCTGAGAATGAGGCTCAGCTATTAGCAGCTTTTAAATCCCCCCCTGGTGATTCTAACATATATCCAAAGTTGAGAAAACCCTGAGACAGTAGTTCAGTTCCAAGTCTGCCAGAGGAGCCTTGATATATAAAAATATAGAAAGAATGTATCTAAGATATATAAATAACGTGTTCATTGGAAGGCACAGAAGGCACAGAGTCTGTCCTGGCAGGACAATCCCACCATGTCTAGAACAGAGGACCCAGCCC